GCCGCTCCACACCGATGCCCCCCCCCCCCCCACCACCACGAGGTAGCGCCGGGTTCGCCATGTCGCACACCCGGCCGCTCGAAGCGTGCGTCGAGCGGCCGGGTGTGGATCAAGGCCGTTAATCGGCGGAGGTGGCTCAGAGGTTAGAGCGCTGAGCTGGCACCGCTGAGCTCCTGGGTTTCGGACACCTTTCATTAAACCAGGTACTCGAGTGTAGTGAGTTGAGAGTCTTAGCTCGGTCAGCGATGACTGCGCCAGATAACCAACCGTCTCATTAAATGTGGTTCTGCGCTGGGGGAAAAAAATTAGAACTTTCAGAATTATATTCTCGGTTTGACTGTCATTCGATTAAACTTTCTTTCGTACGCAGATTAGGTGGAAAAGTGCTGCCCCCTGCTGTGTGGACCAGAGCGTCGCTTGAATGGATCTCGTCAGTAGCTCCGTGCGAGCAAATTCCGTGGGCCGTTCTCTTACACCAATAACTCTCCGCGAGAGATCCGGATAGCCACTGCGTTTCGTGATCTCGATGACAAAAAAACAACGAAAGAAACCGGGAGGACAATTACATACCTTTTTTATATAAAAAAGGTCGTTAGTTGGTTGTACTCGAAAGCTAAATTCCGCTTGCTTCACCGTGACAAAGTATTCCCATAAAGCATTCCGCAGTCGCATTGCTACGAGCGAAGGCAGCAGCTGGGGAGTTCTCCGAACATCTGCCGCAATAATTCCACTTTGCTTCTCGGGCCTTGAGCTCACTTGGGGAAATAATTGAGTCGGGGATGAGTCCAATTATGTGCTCCCTGGGCGTCCGTTATAATGATGTTCACGTATGCCCCAGGCATAAAATATTTACTGGGGGGGGGGGGGGGGAGGAATTATGCTGCCATCATCTCTAGCTTGTGATCAGTCGATAGTTTTTTGTCGGCAGACAAACCGAGTCTTGGCTCAAGGATTATAAGGTTTGTCTCTGATTTTGAAACGTGGGATATTGGAACAACTAATCTTTTGAAGATTACGCTGCTGTATATATTTTTTATTGTGTTATTTCCAATTGTATTCCAAATTGTGCTATCGATGTTGAGACGCTGTGCCCAATTCAGAACCTTTGCAGATTACAGTGCTCCACCTTGTGGCAGAGGTCTGTTCCGTAATGTGACCACCGAGAACGACTTTTGAAGGCACTTCAGTAGGCCTCTCCATCCACAATAGGGTCACACCTTCTTAAGACCCTATGAAGTGTTCCGCTTATGTAAAACCAACAATCTTACGTCTCCAAAAGGTGGAACTTTGCTCTGTTGAGTAAAAAAAAATGCAAATTTAATGTGCTTTAGATGTTAGTCTTGTGCAGTCGTCGGTGATCTGGCTGGGGCCCATCGACTGCCTCTCTTGGCACTGTGAACCCAGCTTAAGCACGGGAGCGGATGGAACGCCAGATTTGAACCCAAGATCTCGGCGGTGATATCGCAGTGTTTCCGGGCCCTGAGCATTTAACTGCCCGTCATCTCCCTGACCTGTCTTTTCAAAGTCCTACTGTCGTTCTTCTCACCATGAACGTCAAGTAGGTCTCATAATTTTTACCTAAAACTTTCGTGACTGCAGGAATTCATATTCTAACCATTGCTACAGTCTACATTATATACTGCCAGTACACTCACCAAACTTAATAACCAGGCTGCAGTCTACATTATAGACTGCCAGAACACTCACCCCGATTAAGAACCAGGCTACAGTCTACATTTGTGTTATATTTTTTTTATTTACGGGGGGGGGGAGAGAGGTGGGGTGGGAGAGGTTGGGGGGGTTGGAGAGGCAGGGGGGATAGAGGCGTGGGGGGGGGGAGGTGGGGGCGGGGGGAGAGGTGGGGGGCGGGGTGGTGCGAGACTTGAAATGATTAAACCCCACACTAGCGCACACTTTCCTTTGCGATAGAGGCTCGGTAATTACGGCAATCATCGAGGCTGAAGTGAAGTATGGGGGGGGGGGGGGTGAGTCAACGTTTTGTATGAGCAGCCCTTTGTGATTCTGACGGATGGCGGGGGAGCTCCCTTTCCCATTGACCCTCCTGCTCCCAGTTCTGACGAAATACAGCATGGGGGGGGGAGCGCACGTCTCCTGCGACGATCGATACGCCGTGCCCGTGTACGCCGTGCAGCTTATTCATCAGCCTCTCTTGATTGCAGACATGATTACGTTTTAAACAGGGGAGGAGTGGGTGGGTAGAGCCCACACACGGGTATATCGACCGGATTTGCTGCTTTAATTTTAACGTGTCGCGCAGAGGGTGTGTTCGGGGTGTGTGTTGTGGTGGGCGGTGGAGTTTGGAAATAAAGCAGCGGGCTCCATCGCGATTTACACATCACACACACACAAAGACAGCAATAATCGAACGCACGGACGCAACAGTAGCCTATGATGGCCTCGCTTAACTCATTCCACCCCATAGTAGAAGGCTCTTCCAAACGCGTGGTCTTCACAGACGTGTAGTGCTGTGTTTTTGTCGGAGCGGTGGGGCGGTGGTTCGCCACTGACGTTTCCCAAATCGGTGGCTGATGTTGGCATCCGTGGTGGCAATCCTACTCGGTTGGTTATGCTATGGACCCAGCGACCTAAGTTCCGCTGTCATCATTGGGGATGTAATATTTGAATTTGGCCTGCCCCCCTCTCCTTTAACCAACCCACACTGGCCTCCGAAGTGAAGTATGGTCAAACAACGCCGATAACCGACACTCCGTGGAGAGGCCTTCAGCAGTGGATTAACAAAGGGCTGTGAAATGTAGTTTATTTATTTTAGTGTAAAAATAAAAAGTGTCCACTGCTGGATGAAGGCCTCCCCGTGCCGTGCAAGTCACGGAGGTCATTTGATCACACTGCACTACGTTGTATTACACTGTATACATATTCTCTATTCCCGTATTAACAATTCATCACAACTCTAATGAGAGCCAAATTAATATCTATCAATGAGTCGGATTAAAAGCCGCTCCTATTAGCACAGGGCAATGCTCATGGCCAGCCGTCGGATAAATTTTGTGAATTAAACATTTCCATTGTGGGCTGAGATTACCCAAAGAACAGGCAATGTTTTAGCTTGCCACAAAGTGGTCTTTATTTCAGCCACCCCTGAGAGATGATTGGCTGAGACAGCGCCCCCACCAACCCGGCCAGGATTTGAACTTGGGACATTCTGATCGCGAGCCATGAGCTTTAATCACTCTACCGAGCCAATAATTTGTGGCTTTGCAATACATCGCGTTCTGGTTCATATAAAAGAGCTATTGTTACAGTTCAGAGGTGATTTTAATTCTACCTTATCTCCACTTATAAATGGGTTTAGTGCACGGGATTTTTGTGTTAATATAGGTGTTGCGTAATGATCTCGTTCAGTTGTAATAACTCGTCTCATTCGTTAAACCTAATCTGTGCAGGGAAGTCGCCACTCGCTTTGCAATCCGGGGGTCGCTGGTTGAAAACGATGGTGAAAGTTGACTAAATCCACCCACCCCCCCCCCCCCCCCCCCCCCCCGCCTCTGTATTAATGGATGCGCCACATTTAGTCGAGATCTGCAGGTCGCGTATAAAAGAGTAAAGTGCGTGCACTGCACTGGCAACTCTTCCAAGGCAGGTGGTGAGTGTGGAAGACGATACCAAAGTACCCTCTCAGATGCGCTCTCTGGAACGCCCCGTTAGTTGAGGCTCTTCCACCAGCATTGGCATTAGCAAGCAAATTGCAAGGCTGCACCTTTAACCGTCATCACTATTAGCTGGGCTATAGAACGTGAGACAGCACCTATGTTACATGACACGTTACGGATGATATTTCGTGGGTTTTAATTGGGAGAGCTGAGAAATTATTTTGGAGGCAACGGCGCTGTATGAACGGGTAAGATGCTTCACGTGCGTTTAGTTGTCGTTTGGGCGTCGCGTCCTTAACTGCGGTTACATTCATCGTAATGGAACTGACGGCCACTGCGATGTGGTCGGCCTTGCGTTGTGGCGCACATCGATAAATGCCACCTTGTTGAGTGGCCTGTATGGGTGCCGCAGTGCCGAGACGTTAACTACCTCGCCTGGTAAAACAGGAGGTCGTGGGTTCGATCCCGATCCTGACGCCTGCTGTATATTTGGTGTTTGCGTGGAGTTTTCTCCGGGTTCTCCCAGTTTTTTCTCCTCCACATTTAGAATCAACATCACGCGTTTAGAGTATTTGGCTGCTACGCATTTCCACGTGATAAGCCACTTCGTTGAGCTTTCATTTGTGGTCAGGTCGCTTCTGAAAAAGAGCTACGTAGCTCAGTGCGCCTTACCTGCACAAATAAAATAAATACAAATTAGTTTAATTTTTTTCATCTACTGGGTGTTAATTGCACACTGTTCTTTTTCTGGAAATAAAAATAATGAATTGCTGCAGCCCCGCATATTTACACGTGTGAAATCTAATCGCAGTGTCAGGAATCATTCACTGTGTCACTCGATGACATACATACTCTATTTGGCACACATAAGAGACGATCATATATTGTACTTGACACACGCCGCACGCATGTGTCAATATCTATACCCTGGTTCGCCAGGATAAGGAGATGGTGGAACAGCAAAATGTGAACTCTGTTCCATCTGCATGGGACAGTGGTTTTTCCCTTGCACCTGTGGGGTTTTCTCTGGGTGCCCCAGTTTCCTCCCGCATGTAAATGCTCATTTGATCAGCCAATAACACCTGAATGTATAGAGGGCCGCAGAGCTTGGAGGAGAATATGGCATCTCACCGCCCGGCTGCTTCCCTTTCCCGCTTGTCTGCGGTTGCTCGTGCCTCCCAAGTCGTTCTCTCTCTCTCTCTCTTCTCGAGTCACGGGGCCCGTTCTGCGCCACCTCTAGGCCGAACGCACCGCATGGCCCAGGTTAGGGTTGAGGCCCGGGCGCGTCCTAACTGGTGAACCCCCCTCCCCCCTCCATCCCACCCATCTCTCTCTCATCTCGCTCGCTCGTCCCTCCGCCGCCCGTAGATGCGCCTCGTGTGCAAAGACGTGCAGGCGGACACCATGTACGACGTGCTGCACGATGCCGCCTACCGCCACAAGTGGGACTCGAACGTCATCCAGACGCACGACATCGGACGTCTCACCGCCAACGCCGACGTCGGATACTACGCCTGTGAGCCCCTCGTGTGTGCCCCGCGTGTCCGCCACGGACGCAGTAGTGCGGTCGTGTAGAACGCACTGCTGAGCTACGGACCCGGCATCCGCGGTGAATGTTTGAATGGGTCCTGGGCCGTTCCCCTAGGTCGACTCTGCCATGAACAAGTAAACATCAGCACTGGGGAGGCAAATGTTACCAGGCACTGTGCCCGGCCACCCACCGCCTCGTGTGTCGTGTTGGGCTTTTATAAGTGCTCGCTACCACCACTTGCCCTAACGGTCTGTTCCAAGGCTTTAGGGGGGGATGTCTTTGTGTTTGTGTGTTTGTACATCGTTACAGTAACTTTATCCTGAGCCAATACGAGGACGCTCACTGACACGGGTTTACCGGCGTTCGGGAGTGCTCTGCACATTAGCAACAGCAGCAGCCTGCCACTTGCACTCTTGCAAGCGGAGAAGTGCTTTAGGACCTCCTGCTGCTAATGTGGGACTGCATTGGCAGCGGCAAGGAGGCGTCCATCCGGCCTCTCACCAGGTGGCCCTCCCAAGTGCACCGGCAGGGCGGCTTTCTGCAAACAACTGGTTTACGACGACCAAGCTGCTTGCCATCCCTCGTGAACGTTAACCACAAACGGGACCGGATTTCGACTCGCACATTAGGAAGCGAAGCCTTAGTAGGGTGGCATTCTCTTTGCAAATGCGGCAATTATTTAACTTACCCAGAAAACGAACCTCGCTGAGTCTCTCACGGCGTGGTGGTTTTTTGTGTTTCTGCTAGGAGGGCCCTGCTACATTGGGAGCTTTTTGAGATTAAAAAAGCCATCAATGTGAGAAACCGGAGAAAACCCGACACGCATACGAGAGGGGTAACATTCAGAACTTCACACAGATGGATTTAATGATTAGTCGCCGTCCTGCCATTTCGTAGCCACCTTCACAAGCCACAATGCTTTGACAGTGCCGGGCAGTTTCCCATCAGGCTCTGTCAATCCACTGCTGGATGAAGGACTCCCCACATTGTGTCGGTCACAGGGGAGATGTTAGACCACACTTCACCAAAACTAGTGAGTGCAGGTTTGTAAAGGGGGGGGGGAGGAGGGGGAGCCAGGACCAGTTCAGATATCGCTCGCAACTGATGTTATACAGAGCTGGGTTCGTAGCGCAGTGTGCTAACCACTGAACCATCACCTCCCCTCCTACTCCCCCCCCATCATATATATTTAATGTTATACCCGTAAAAAATAATGCTTGCATAATCACAACATTGGAACTGGTGCGTACAGGGCACGAGAGCAGCAGATGTCGAGGCCACGGAACCACATGTTGTGATTTTTTTTCATGAATTGTTGGCTTGTGGAGCGCGACGCGTGCGAAGCGGCTGCCAAGAGATTTGTTTTGTGTCCAGCACAGCCAGGTGATGGGCGTGCATCACGAGTGAGTGTGAACAGGACTGTGATGCTGCTGCTGCTGCTGCTGCTCCTCCTGTGATGTTTCTGTTTCCTATTGCATCTCCTTGCAGGTCCCATGGCAATGAAAATGCAAAACTGTGTGTCCGTGTGTGTGGTGACCAGGGTTCGATTCTCACTCACGGCCAACACCCAGTGACGATTATCTGAACCGGTCCTGGGCCTCCCCTAGGTCGACTCGGCCTCAAATGAGTACCTGGTGCGATGCGTACATATAGTCACTAGGGAGACAAAGGCGGTCGGGCGTGGTGTTGGCCACCCACCCCCTCGTGTGCCGTGTCGGCCTTTATAGGTGTACGCTAACAGCACTTGCCCCTACAGTCTGTTAAGGCTACACGGGGTTTTGTGTGGTGGGGAGCGGTGGCTTAGTGGTTAGCACACAACGCATTATTAACCCAGCGACCTGAGTTCGACTCCTGGCCGTGATTAACGTCAATGATGAGTAATATATAAACCGGTGCCGCATGCCCTTTTCTTCACGAACACCAACGAACCAAAATGGTGAAGTATGGTCAAACACCCCCCCCCCCCCCCCGGGGGGGGGGGGGGGGGGGATGCTTGGAAGTCTTCACCAAGCAATGGATTGACGAATGGCTGTAAACTATTCCCATCATCATCACCATCGTCACGATTACCTTTATACAAGCGAAGCATTGTGTCATTAAGGCCAAACCGCGCGTCGGTTGACATTTGAGCGTCGGATCGTCTCGCGTCTCGGACCCCCCCGGATCGTCTCGCGTCCCGGCCACTGGCTCGGAGCCACCCCGAGCCCCCTGGCTCGGAGCCACGACGAGGCGTGGTTCCGAGCAGGACCCGCACGCCCAACCCAACTGCGGCCGCGCTGCGGAGAGTTTTGTATCCCAGGTGCCAAGGCCACGTGGCGGTGCTTTGAAAAGTGAGGTGCTCGGTCGGGAAAGACAAAAAAACGCCACAAAAAGCCTCCGTTGCCGTAGTCGAGCGGGTAGACGACGGAGAGAGTGGGGGGGGCTCAGGGGAGGAGAGGGAAATGGGAGGCAAGGGGTGCGGGGGAGGGGGGACCGCAACGACTCCTGTGAGATGCAAACGTCACTGGTGATAATACAAACATAAGTAAGACAAGTGACGTATGATAACGTGACGTTCCTGGGGCGATAGCCCCGTCTTCATAGCACCGGGTACTGTGCACGACTGGGGTCCCCGCCGAGAACTGCCCACGTGTGTACGAGTGGAGTCGCTGATTGCCGGATAAAGGAAGAGGATGGAACTGGCGAGGCGCGCAATTACACACGCGTGTGTGTACAAGTGCGGGTCCTGGGCCTCCCCAAGGTCGACTCGGCCTCAATTGAGTACCTGGTGCCGATGTGTAAACGTCGTCACTCGGGAGACAAAGGCGGTCGGGCGTGGTTGTTGGCCCACCCACCCCCTCGTGTGCCGTGGCAGCCTTAATAGGTGCTCGCGAACAGCACTTGCCCCAACAGCCTGCGACGGCTGTATGGGGGGGGGGGGGGGGGGCGTCGTTGTGTGTGGGTGTACAATCATGGCTAAGGCGCTTCGGCAAATGTCAATGTTTGCACGCGTGTTCGCTCTGACGTGCGAACGCGCGTCCCTTGCGTTGGCCGTGCGCGTGTTTATGCATGGGCGGCAGAGTGGCTCTACAGCAAGTGCATCCAGGGTTCGAATCCCGACTCTGGTGCCAGTTGGGCCAGGGTTCGCATCCCGAGCCTGGGGCCATGCAGTCTAACTGCCATTGCCCACAACATTCCGATGTTGAAAGAAAAACAAATTACCTGCAAATTACTCAATGTACGCAGCAAAAACATCAACCCCCTTGGCTGTAACAAAAACTTGGCAAGGCCTTCCTTGAAAAAGAGTAATGAGATTCGGTGAAGCTTTCCTAGGTCAACAAAGCGTTATTAATAAAGATCGTTAATAAACAATAACGCTCGGACATTAAACCGATACTTGCCCATCCAAAAAGTGGAAGTGATTTGCTGCAAAATAACCCATTTGAGGGAGCGATGGCTCCATCCCCCATTTAGAGCCCTGCGCCAGAATTGCGGAATTTCCAGCGGGCGAAATGTCTCCCGGTCGCGTAACGCGTGTGCGAGCATCAACAGCAGCAAAAACAACGGAAATATTAGTATTATTGCTTCCGTGTATCACGTTCGATCAATCTATCTCCCCACCAACCCCTGACACCACCCCCCCCCCCCCGATCTGACCCCTAACGAACCAAAAATTGCAGGGAAGTGCCCGAAGCCACTGAAAAACAGAGACTTTGTCACCTTGAGGTCCTGGCTTCCCCTGGAGAACGATTACCTCATCATCAACCACTCGGTCAAGCACCCGGTACGTACATGTCGAGATGCAATCCAACGACACACACACGCACACGCACGCACGCACACACGCACACACACGCACACACGCACACACGCACACACACACACACGCACACCCACGGCCTCTCTGTCCATCCACCGCTGGATGAGGGCCCGGTCGAAACTCTTAATTTGACAGTGCCTCACCCACCACCCCTCCACCCCACCACGGGTGGGGGTCCGCAGGAACCCTGTGATCTCAGAGATCTTGAGGACCGCTACGTTACATGCTGCACTTGCCCGATGATTGGTAAACCTACGATGCAGGGCACAGAAGCACATTGCACGCACGCGTGCGCAAGGTGCCCACGTTAATTCGAATTGACGCTCTCAACATCTCGTGGGCACGTTGTGTTTAGCAATCGTCTGGCATGTGCTGCATGCAATGGCAGTTTACATTCGAAGCCAAGGTGCAACTGATGAACGATTATGCGGTGTTGGTGATGGCATGGCTGAGCATGGTTTTGAGTTTCATGGGTGGGGAGGGGGCGAAATTTGTAGTGACCCGCGCAACCGTGGGGTAGCGCGCTGCGCTACGAACCCGGTGACCCGAGTTCGATTCCCGCTCACGGCCAACACCAGGTGGCGATTATCAGAACCGGCCCTGGCCTTCCCCTAGGTTGACTCGGCCTCAAATGAGTACCCGGTGCGGTTTGTAAAAACATCGCCACTGGGGAGACAAATGCGGCCAGGCGTGGTGTTGGCCGCCCACCCCCTCGTGTGCCGTGCCGGCCTTAATAGGTACTACTCGATAACAACACTTGCCCCAGCAGTCTGTAGGACTATACGGGGGATCTTTGTCTTTGTTATGGCCTGCGCGTGCCGTACGTTACGTAACAACGCAGCGATTGTGCGTTTGCGTGGTTAAGTCACTTCCCGGAAACGCTGCACCCAGTGCTGCGAAAACAAAGAAGCCTTGGTTAGGCGTTTCGGGTACGTGGGTGGCGAGTTGGTTACGATATGCGGTCGCATGGTGGTTTGGTGAAGGCGAGAGTGGGTTTTTGTTTTCAGTTGTGGCTTTTCCCGCGGCACAGCCCTCACCCGCCAAGTTTACCAAATTGCACGAAGTTTTTTTTACACGCTACACGTGCCTGATGATCGCTAAACGCATGATGAGAAGCACACGTGTACACTATACTGTACACACACACACAAAGATCCCCCGTGTAGCCTTAACAGACTGTTGGGGCAAATGCTGTTAGCGAGCACCTATGAAGGCCGAACGGCACACGAGGGGGTGGGTGGCCAACATCACGCCCGACCGCCTTTGTCTCCCCTGTGGCGATGTTTACACACTGCACCAGGTACTCATTTGAGGCTGAGTCGACCTAGGGGAGGCACAGTACCAGTGAAGATTATCGTCACTGGTGTTGACCATGAGCACGGATCGAACTCGGGTCCCCGGGTTCGTAGCGCAGCGTGAGAACCGTTACACAACGGCTCCTCACACACGCACTGACACACACATTGAGCTCCATCTCAAGTTGAATCATTGTTTAGTAATCATTAGGCACGTGCAGCGTGCTCGGGTTCGTTTTGGGGGTTTTGCTGTCCTCTGGGTTAAAGTAATTGTTCAGTGTCCGAATTAAATGTTATCTTGGCGTCGTGGGTATGGTTTGTATGAGTGTTTAAGGTTAATGTTTTCGTTATTGCTGGGGTCTTGGTTACGATGATCATTGGGCTTTGGATTAGTGGTAACGATAGGATTTGGGTAAAGTGAGTTTTTTTCGTAAGAATCCAGGACTGTTCGTTCACTGGCAGAAATTCCAATGGAACTTTGTCCAGCGCAAGGCTTTAAAATGCTTAACGGAGTGAACGAGCTTTAACTCTGTGCGTGTCTGTAGCGCCACTTTCTGACTCTGTGCAGCCCTGGGTTAAGAACTCCAGATCAAAGCAGCGTCACGAAAAAAAAACAACGTGGGATCAAGAATTGGGCAATAGAAAAAAAAACACATGGCAGCGAAAATGTTTAATAAGTAAGGCCGAGAGAGATCACAGCCAGACGGAACGAAAGGAATTAAAGTCAACAGCGAGCATTCCATCCAGCTGTAGATGGAGAATGAACGACGTATGTATATTGAACTTCTTTCGCAACCATACGTAGCCTACCTTGCTTATCTGTGGTGCAGGGCAACGAACTGAACGCAAAAAGCAGTTTTAATGGGTTTTCAACATAGATGATTTAAAAGTGCACAGCTCCAGTGTCTTCCGAATATCGGAATGAAGATTGTTCCAGACGGCCGCAGAAGTGCACTGGAAGCGTGCGATGCGGTGACCACCGTCTTCGTTTGATGGCGAGCAAAAAAAGTTTGATGGTGAGCCAAAAAGTTTGATGGTGAGCAAAAAAAGTTTGATGGTGAGCCAAAAACCGCTGGTAGCTCGGATGTGGTTGCCACGGTAACCCTGGTGCTGCTCCCCTCTGTGAAAGGGACCGAGGCAAATGCCGCCACACAATGATGATATGGATAACAATGACCTAATTATAGTCAACGTTTGACCTGCTGTGTGATGTAACACCGAATAGGCCAATTAAAGTGCTGCACAATATAACCGATTATGCATAGGACTGAATCCACTCGTGGCTTTTTGTGTTTATACATCGTGCACAGGAAAGCACTCCCCCGCCGTGTTCATAAGCGCTTCGGTGACTGTTTAGAAACGAATGGCTCGTAGAGCGGTGTATTGGTTGTTTTGTGTTAGCGAGGCGAGGGCCCGTCGCAAGCCCCGTCCGTGCCAAATCGCTCCGCAAATTCCACGACAGAAATTGTACACAAGCTATGCATGCATGCTGAACTTCTTTCGAAGCCGGCATGTAAGCCAACCGTGCTCATCCGGAGGTGCGGAAGGGTGATTAGGGGTTTGGGGGGGGGGGGGTTTACAATTGACCATTATCCCGGTCTGAAAAAGAAAATTCTACACGCGGTCTGTCGAAGTCACGTCACGGTTGGATGGTCGGACATCCCTTAAAACCAGGGCCAACCTCATGGCACTGATTGTGTTATAAACGAAGCTTAATGCGGGGGGAGGGGGGGGGTGTGTGCGTTGGGGGGGGGGGGGGCGTACGCAATCAATGTACGCCACCACGAGACGCCTTGCCAGCCCCATTGAATCACCGCTGCAATTATCTGTATATTACCGTTGTCGTGGCAACCACCCGGAGGGGGGGTGGGTGTTGCTCGGATGGCGTTGCCACGGTAACCCCGGTGCTGCTCCACCCCCCCCCCCCCTCCTCCTCCGCCCCCACCTCTGCGAAAAGGGGACCCGAGCAATTGCCGGCAAAAAAGGGCCGTGCGCTGCAAGGGCTCGTTCGCGACGGCCGTGCGCGAGGCCTTGCCGGCCGCTGTCCCATTGGCGAGCTCCGTCGCTTGGCCCGATCCGTGTGCCGTGCAAGGCTCTCCCCGGGCGTTTCTTCTCGATGAGCGTGCGTTTTGTGCGTGTTGGAGCCTGTGAAACTCACCAACCCCCCACTCTCATACCCCCCCCCCCCTCCCCTCCAGCCACTAGAGGCCGCTACAAAAAAATTACGCAAAAATGTTAATAGATTTTTTTTTTAAAGTAATCGAATGGCGACCGTGAGTCGTGGCAATGCACTCAGCGAGTGGGTGAGTCTTTAACGCCTCTGATAACGATGGTGATGACGACGACGAAGATGTCGACATTGAATTTGTTGCCAATGTCGGTGATTGATGGTGATGATGATGATGATGTGGTTTACGAATACTTTGCAATGGGCAGACAATTTGTTAAGTCATGAGGGAGGCGAATTGCCGTGTAATCGCATCACATGGCAAGCATTTGGTGGTGAATGCATCCGTATGTAGATGCATGCATGTGCTTAAGTGCAGTATATCTCTCTCGCTGTGCGTGTGTGGGGGGTGGGGGGAGCGGTGGTGTAGTGGTTAGAGCGCTGTGTTTAGAACACAGGGAGCCGAGTTCGATTCCCGCTCACGCTCAACACAAGTGACGATTATCTGAACCGGTTCTGGGCCTCCCCTAGGTCGACTCGGCCTCGAATGAGAGTACCTGGTGCGGTGTGTACACATCTCCACTGGGGAGACAAAGGCGTCCGGGCGTGGTGTTCGGCACCCACCCCCTCGTGTGCTGTGCCGGCCTTCATAGGTGCTACTCGCGAACATTCCTTGCCCCAGGAGTCTGTTTAAAGGCTATACGGGGGACCTTTGTTAGTTTGTTATAAAACAAGTTGGGCCAGGGCAATGGCACAGCAGTTGTTAGCGCTCTTGCCATGGTTTTGTTTTGTTGTAGTACGGAGTTAGACTGATGGCCTTAATCTTAGTTGTCTTGTGGTGGTTGTTGTTGTTGTTTGACTTGCATCCCACTGGGATTTTTGCACACAGCGTTGGTGTACGGTGCTATTTCAGCAATATTTTGATGTTTTTTTTTCCCTGGATTTTCTGTTTGCACAGTCACATAGTCACTTTAAGATGTTTTCTTGTTCATGTTTTTGTTTTTGGTTTGTTGCGGTTGCACTCGATTCAAGAGCCGAATGGCTCACAGGGCTATACCAAATAAATGGAAATGGAACTAACAAACCCGACCCCTTGAGTTTGATACCTGACCACGGCTAAAATCGGTGGCAAGTGATTTCCTCCCAACTAGCCCTTGGGCCCCGTTTACCCCCAAAACGTGCACCTGACCAGCATGGTGAGGTTATGGTCAGATAGTTGCACGTGCGTCAAGACGTTTTAACATGAGCAATATGCACTCGCACGGTCTTCTTTGTTAGTTGAGTTCCCCGCTGTCTTCTTTTGGTGACGAGCGAGCCCCAACGAGACCTCGCCACGTCTCCTGCAGCAGCCTCTCGTGGCCTCCTCCACGCTTCGTCCCTTTTACGCGCAGAATATGCGTTTATCCCGGACGAGCCCGATGAGCTATAAAGCTCTTTCTGACAGATGTGCAGTTGTTGGAGACGATTCCTCACCTTGTCAATCCAGCGCGTGGCCTCTTTATAAGCAGTTGGGAAACACAATTTTTGAAGAATGTTGCTTTGCATTGCTGCAACTGATTCTCGTCGGGGCTTGCATTATTACTCCCTCCGCTGCCGTACTATCCGCTATCCTCTACCCAATTTCCACACTTCCCCTTGATGGCTGGAAGGAAAAACATATTGAAGACATCACTTCCCACGCGCTCGTGCGCACACTCCGCGCGCCAAACCGTCACGCGCTCGCTCGGGCAGGGAGATGGCTTTGTCTTTTTTTCCCACCGCGGTCGTGTGGTTTTTCTTTTGGTGATTGTGTTTAATATAAATTTACGTTTGTCTTGATATTGCGTTGTGATTTTAATCGTTTAAATAAATGAGGCCCCCCCATTAACTTCTTTCCTCCGCAAGTCAACTCGCACAACTGCTCCTGATTAATGCGATTTTTTTTTGTTTGTGCGTCGGAAACAAATTTACTTGACCCCCGCTACGTACCGGTGTGACTGCACGTGGCCTCCACGGACGACAACGTGAATCCTTATTATATTTTTTTCTTTGTTGTCGCTCGTCAGAAATTTCCACCGAAGAAGGATTTTGTCCGAGCGGTGTCCATCCTCACAGGCTACCTGGTGCGGTCTCACGGAAACAACGGCTGCACCCTCATCTACTTGACCCAGCTTGACCCCAAGGGTACGCGCGAGACCAACGCCCCCCCCGCCCCCGCCGCCCCCCCCCCCGTGTGACCTGGTTCGTTTCTTGTGTCATGACAAACGATGCGAGCGCTTCCCCCCCCTCTCCTAAAAATAATAATTTTTATTTTACCAGGTAAGGCCCACTGAGCTATATAGCTCTTCAGAAGTGACCTGGCCATCGCAAATGATGGATTCTCAACAAAGTGGCTTATCATCACGTGGAAATGTCTAGCAGCCAACACTCTAAACGCATAATCATTTTTATTTTACCATGTTCATTATAAACGTGGAGGGAAAAAACTGGACGACCCTGTAGAAAAATCCACGCGACCACGGGGAAGAGAGACACGCAAACTCAAAATATACAGCAGGCGTCGGGGTCGGGATCGATGCAGAGGGTCATGCGAAACCCCCAGTTTTAAGTGCGGCGAATTATTGTTTTTTTGTTAAGGTGCGGCTTTGTAAATTCCCTACCCATGCCGTTGCTGGCAGAAGATCTTTGCGCTATTACGCTTATGCCGACCAGCGTTCATTTATTTTCACGGGGGGGGGGGAGGGGGGGGAGACACTTTTGCCGATAAGACATAATCCGTGTTAGGGCCGCCGCACATTTGAAACCATTGGGATTGACAGCATGATGTGGGACGTTTTCACATTCGTATGTTGTCGGGGGCTGCACGTCACGGACCGCACTAAAAGCCATCGGGAGGCCGCCAGTGGCTTTGGAAATGAAGAACAACACCGGCGTATACAAATCGAAAAACTATCGACGGCAGTACACGCACGGGATTGACGATCACGAGTGAGCCCTTTCGCGACCGAGCGAAATAACCCGGTGGTCCTTCTGCTGACCTGGCAGTGCTACACAGGCGCAGATGAAACAGTTCAACACGTTCCTTATAAGGAAAATCTTTATAAAAACCGACGTTTTAGGTAATGGCCCTTCTACATAGCATGTACATTGATGTGCCAGAGATATTAGTACCAGTTGGAGGATGCATTTTACACCAAGGGAGCCTGACAATTAAATATTTAAACTGCTTTCAAATTAAAATATGAGCAGTTGCCTAATATTCGCTTTTGGGTAACAGACAAACCGACGCACATCAGCATCATCAGCATCATCATCAGCATCATCAGCAACATCAGCAGCAGAGAAGAATTCACAGCAGAAACGGAATTAGCAGCAGCAGCAACATTCACAGCGAGCAACAGCAGAAGAATGCACAGCAAGATAATTCAGAGCAGAATACACAATACACAGGAGGGGAATAGCTAGCAGGATGATTTGCAGCAGCATTCACAGCAACAGCAAAATTCACAGCAGCAGCAGAATGCACATCAGCACCAGAATTCGCAGTGGCAAAAGCAGTAGCAGCAGAATCCACTTGCAACAGCAGTCCTGTTCCTGATGCCGTATCTGTAAGTGGGGGGAGGAGGGGGGATCAAGCAGTCATCCTTGCACACAGCAGCAGCAACAGCAGCCATGGGGAGCAGCTCCAGTGATCAGAGCAGAGCTCCTTGTGCGAGCCTAGGGAATTAAAATGTTAAATCGGGGAATAATGCCCACTCGCAATTAGGAATCAGCAGCGCAAGGAATTTGATTAAGTGAAAGCTAATGAAGTGTCTGCTGCTCTTATGCAAATTGTGCGTGGATAAAAAAAAGATTGCAATTATTTATGGAGGAGTTTCCGCAAATGTGAGCTTCCTCTTTGCAACCCGCTGTGGTACGCGTCTCCGTCTTTACAAGTCTTCTACATTGAGGGTGCCGCAGTGGCGAGGTGTTCACTACCTCACCTGGAATACAGAAGGCCTTGTGTTCGATCCCGACCCTGACGCCTGTATATTTGGAGTTTGCATGTCTCTTTCTCCGTAGTTGCATTCATCTTTCCCCCAGGTCCTCCAGTTTTTTCCCTTCACATTGAGAAATGACGCGTTTTTGGAGTATTTGGCTGCGATCAATTTCCACGCGATAATCTACTTAATTGGGCTATCACTTGTGGCCAGGCCGCTTCTGAAAAAGAACTACATAGCTCAGTGGGCCTTACCTGGTAAATAAATATAGTTTAGTTTCATAGTTTTAAGTATAAATACACTTGTCGCACACTCACTGCACTTGCCCGATGATTGCTGAACTTGTCCCAAACGACGAGGGTGCAAAGGGTTGGATCAAACGGAAGCTCAACAAAAATCTCTCCCTTCTACTTAAATCACAATTCGAGACTTGTTGGGGCAAGTGCCATTAGCGAGCACCTAATGAAGGTCGGAACGGCATACGAGGAGTGGGTGGGTGGCCACCACCACGCCCGGCCGCCTTTGTCTCCCAATTGGCTCTATATATACACATCGCACCGGGTACTCATTTAAGGCTAAATCGACCTCGGGGAGGCGCAGAACCAGTTTCAGATAATCATCAATGGTTTTGGCCTTGAGAGTGGGGAATCGAACTCGGGCGGCTAGGTTAGCAGCGCAGCTTCTACCCGTAAACATTATATCGCAATCAATTTTGAGATAGTAATAGGTTTTTACCCTTTTATCTGGCACCAAAACTGGCACCTTTATACAAGGGATCATGTTTACAATAACCACAACACAAGTAGTCAAAATGCAAACAAAAAGAGACAACTCTGATAATGATATGCACTGTCCTTGAAATTGATTGGTCCACACCCGAGACGGCTTTTCTTAGAGCCTAGTCTCCACTGGTGTTGGACCAGATGACGCCAATTTTGATTCTCAAATGTGACAGAGACCCCCCCCCCTCCCCCCCACACACATGCAGAGTTATTCGCGAAGGCTCCAGACGGTCACCGTACGCACAAACCTTTATTTTTTTAGTGCTTCAAAGAAATGTTAACACTTATATGGGACTATCGTTTTAATGGAAAAAGGATGGATAATATGCTGCAACATAATAATCTATGTTAATAGTCTCCCACTTGTTCGCCATCATTGTCAACACGTGGCCTGGCATCTTCTCCAGGTGGTATCCAGAGCCCGGAGGAGGAGGAGGCACATTTGTCGTGGTGTTGTTGAAAAATTCTCAGAAGTGTTGAAACATGTTTTTGTCGCAGCCGGTACAGGAGGTGATCCTTTTAATAGACACCCCACTAAAATAATATGGTGAAAAATCGTAATCCACCGTGTCTCCCACCGACCTCAATACATTAATTACTTGCGTTATCGCATATCGCCCGTAAGATATGGAGCCGTACGTTGCACAGTATAGAGTCACTTGCGGAGCAGGGCGAGCGAGAGAGAGAAAGAGACCTTGCAAATTAGTGGGGTGTCTCTAAATGGATCACCCTATGCACGGCACCAAATGAACGGTGAGCAAACTGACGAGCAACAACGTTACCGATCTGTAATGCACGCATCAAATGTTCTGACGCTCTTCGCTGTCGTGTATGGGAAGCTGTCGTTTTTGCACAGAGTTGAGTCGCCTGCGGGGGGGGGGGGTGGGTGGTGAATAGGTGATCAGTGGGGCGTCTCTAAATGGATCTCCCCCCCATACTGTGAACTGGCTTCATCTTGTTCCACGGACGTGAATAGTCCTGTCGGATAAACCCAACGAAGCAACGATTGGGTTTCGCTTTTGTAATTCGAAGCAGCCATTTTGCTAATTGCAAGACGACTGGTTTTGGAAAGTCGGAGAGAAAATTGAGAAACAAAAATTATTGACTGCATTTATTTTTAATTAAAAATATCTAATTACTTCACAGTGTACCTCCACTATCTTACCTCGGATGTTGAGAAATCGTCGTCGGCTCGAGGATGACTTTTAAATGCGTTTTTTTGTGGGGTTTTAAATGTTTCAACGCGGGATGCAATTTGCGAATTATAAATCAACATGCAGTCATCGCGATAACATTTGCAGAATGGTCGCAAAAAGTATTCCCAGCCCCCGGATGGAATGTTAATGCCAGCCGAAAAAAAAAACACATTCTTGGTAAACGTAATTTTGACAAAATAGGACTGAATATACATTTCAAACAATGAACGGTGAGGAATGTAAATGAGCCATCATCGCCCAAAGACCTCAAATGTCTCTAAATCCCTCCAATCGAGTCCATCATCAACGGCAAGATCTCACTCGCCGTCTTTAAAATCCTCCACGGACTTGGGCATTTACCCCCTTCTCTCTCATCTCTCGCCACTCCCTCACACGAGTTATCTTACCTCTCATATCTCTCCACTCCCTCCCATGCTCTCTTCTACCGCTCCCCTCTCAGCTCTTTCCACTCCCTCACACGAGTTATCTTCTCTCTCATCTCTTTCCACTCCCTCACACGAGCTCTCCTACCTCCCCTCTCATCTCGCTCTACTCTCCCCAACGTGCTCTTCACTCCAGCAACCAAGGTCTTCTGTCAAAAACCCTCCGTGAACTTTCACCCAATGGGAGGTCCATTCTTGCCATCTTCTGCCCCCCCCTCCCCCCATTGCTCTGTCTACACTGCTGTGACCCCACCCCTGATCAAGTCCACACTCGAGACTTCTATTCTCCCTAGAGCGTTCTCTTGCTGTGACGTGTCCTTTGTATGCACGGTATTGCAACATCATTTCTCTTTCCCCTCCGGCCCGTATAATTATAGCCCTAGTTTGCTGCTCGGGCTGAAGCCATCGCCTCACTATCCTTGAGAAACACGGGTGGCTGAAGTGCAGGTTTGAACCCAGCTCGGTGTTCTGACTCCTGAGCGGTCACCCACGCTAGTGCGACCCAGGCTCCAGGCTGCTTAGCTTGCAAAAAGTAATGAAATAGGCGGTCCTCTGGCGGCTGGTTTGAGCTTGGACCACCACCACTATTATATATTTTTTTTTTATTTTACCACTGAGCTATATAGCTCTATTTTTCAGAAGCGACCTGGCCACAAATGATAAGCCCAACGAAGTGCTTTATCGCGTGGAAGTTTATAGCGGGTCAAATACTGTGAATGCGTGTTTCTAACTGTGGAGGGGAAAAAAAACGGAGGACCCGTAGAAAAATCCACGCGACCACGGGGGAGAACATGCAAACTAAAAAATGGACATGCACCAGGGTCAGCATTGAAGCTACGACCTCCTGTCTATCAGGTGAGGACGTTAATGTCTCGCCACCGTGGCGCTCTCTCGACGCTGCGTCGTGTGAAGAATAAGGACAGCTGCTGGCTTGGTCTAAACAAATATTTTACGTGAACACAAGTGTATTCACACCATGGTGACTTGAACAAAAGCATTTTCTGGAAAGATTTATGTTTTTTTTTTAAACGTCTGCCTCGCATAGATGCTCATGATACCGACGATGGTGGTGGCAGTGATAATGGTGAAGTTTATGATGATGATAATTGTGCTTGCTTAAATGCCTCAGAAGCTAAAATTGCCTTATCTCCTTTAAAATAATTTGAAGGGCACCCCCAGGGGCAACTGTCCCTGTGCAGCACAACGTGGCTCGACACCGGACTGCCGGTACAGGAGGGGATGATCAATAGCGGCGGCATGGGGATGATGATTATTTCTGTGGTGATGGTGATGACGACGACGACAATGATCAGGTTGCTGATTGGCGTGATGGGTGGTAATTCTATTGTGGTTGAATAATGATTACATTGATGATGATGACACTGATTCTCATCACTAGGCTCCTTGCCGAAGTGGGTGGTGAACCGGGCTTCTCAGATGCTGGCTCCGAAGGTAACATTAACTTCCCACTGCTCATGCCCAGAGCATATCCGAAACGAGAGCCGATGTTCTCTTGTACAATTATTCATTTTATTCGCACCCCCCCCCCCCCCGCCCTCACGTAGGTGTAAATCAAAATCAAAAAAGTTTTATCGTAATCCTCCCCATGAATTCCCACCTGCCAGCCGCCAAAGTTTTTGTTTTATATATTTATACGAGAGCGGCGACGGCTTCAGTGGCTACGGCTCGGTGGAAGGGGGCAGACCGCTGTCCCGCTGCTCTGGCGTTACGCTCGCGCCAGGCGGTGCACAGAGAAGCGATTCGCAGGCTCCCACTCACGATGAGGGGTGCCCCTCCAACCCTCTACCCCCCACACCCCCATCCCTTCGCCTTACACGATGCCCATGCCCCGCCCACAATCCTTTCTACCACTCCGCAAATCATCATTCGTATCATCACCAAAGACAAAGATCCCCAACTCCCCGTATAGCCGAACAGACTGTTGGGGCAAGTGCTGCTAGCGAGTAGCACCTACAGTGAGGGCAAAAAAAGTATTTGATCCCCTGCTGATTTTGTACGTTTGCCCACTGACAAAGAAATGATCAGTCTATAATTTTAATGGTAGGTTTATTTGAACAGTGGGAGACAGAATAACAAAAAAATCCAGAAAAACGCATGTCAAAAATGTTATAAATTGATTTGCATTTTAATGAGGGAAATAAGTATTTGACCCCTCTGCAAAACATGACTTAGTACTTGGTGCAAAAACCCTTGTTGGCAATCACAGAGGTCAGACGTTTCTTGTAGTTGGCCACCAGGTTTGCACACATCTCAGGAGGGATTTTTGTCCCACTCCTCTTTGCAGATCTTCTCCAAGTCATTAAGGTTTCGAGGCTGACGTTTGGCAACTCGAACCTTCAGCTCCCTCCACAGATTTTCTATGGGATTAAGGTCTGGGGCCTGGCTAGGCCACTCCAGGACCTTAATGTGCTTTTTCTTGAGCCACTTCTTTGTTGCCTTGGCCGTGTGTTTTGGGTCATTGTCATGCTGGAATACCCATCCACGACCCATTTTCATTGCCCTGGCTGAAGGAAGGAGGTTCTCACCCAAGATTTGACGGTACATGGCCCCGTCCATCGTCCCTTTGATGCGGTGAAGTTGTCCTGTCCCCTTAGAAAAAAACACCCCCAAAGCATAATGTTTCCACTTCCATGTTTGACCGTGGGGATGGTGTTCTTGGGGTCATAGGCAGCATTCCTCCTCCTCCAAACACGGCGAGTTGAGTTGATGCCAAAGAGCTCAATTTTTGTCTCATCTGACCACAACACTTTCACCCAGTTGTCCTCTGAATCATTCAGATGTTCATTGGCAAACTTCAGACGGGCAAGTATATGTGCTTTTTTGAGCAGGGGGACCTTGCGGGCGCTGCAGGATTTCGGTTCTTCACGGCGTAGTGTGTTACCAATTGTTTTATTGGTGACTATGGTCCCAGCTGCCTTGAGATCATTAACAATATCCTCCCGTGTAGCTCTGGGCTGATTCCTCACCATTCTCATGATCATTGCAACTCCACGAGGTGAGATCTTGCATGGAGCCCCAGGCCGAGGGAGATTGACAGTTATGTTTCTTCCATTTGCGAATAATCGCACCAACTGTTGTCACCTTCTCACCAAGCTGCTTGTCAATGGTCTTGTAGCCCATTCCAGCCTTGTGTAGGTCTACAATCTTGTCCCTGACATCCTTGGAGAGCTCTTTGGTCTTGGCCATGGTGGAGAGTTTGGAATCCGATTGATTGATTGCTTCTGTGGACAGGTGTTTTTTATACAGGTAACAAGCTGAGATTAGGAGCGCACTCCCTTTAAGAGTGTGCTCCTAATCTCAGCTCGTTACCTATATAAAAGACACCTGGGAGCCAGAAATCTTTCTGATTGAGAGGGGGTCAAATACTTATTTCCCTCATTAAAATGCAAATCAATTTATAACATTTTTGACATGCGTTTTTCTGGATTTTGTTGTTGTTATTCTGTCTCTTACTGTTCAAATAAACCTACCATTAAAATTTTAGACTGATCATTTCTTTGTCAGTGGGCAAATGTACAAAATCAGCAGGGGATCAAATACTTTTTTTCCTCACTGTATGAAGACCGGCACTGTGGCACACGATGGGGTGGGTTGGCCAGCACCACGCCCGTCCGGCTTTTTTTTGTCCCCAGTGGCAACGTTTACTACACACTGCACCAGGATCCCATTTGAGGCTGAGTCGACCTAAGGGAGTCCCAGGACCAGTTCAGAGAATCGTCACTCGTGTTGGCCGTGAGCGGGATTCAAAGTCGGTGTCGCCGGGTTCGACCGGCCACCGGTCAACCGCCACGTCACCTATTTGCGTTTCGCTCTCCGTATTCTTAAATCGGTAGCCACGGGGTCCCGTGGAAGTCGCCTTCAGTGAGTTGGGTGTCCCCCCCCCAAGTCTGCCCGGCAGGCGGGCCGCTCAGCCGGGGGGTTAGCTTGGCCGGCGGTGCCATTCGCGGCACGGCACGATCTCAACGTGCCCGCGCCAGTCTCTTGCGCCCCCGCGTCGACAAGTTCGAACCGTCGTTGTGGTTGTTGTTGTTGTTAAGTAAGTCCATCGTTCATCTCCTGGGGATTATGGATCCATCATAGCGCTAGAGTAATGGCGTCTTAACAACGACACTGCGATTCATCCGGACCGGGGAGCTCAGCGGTAGAGCGGGCGACTTGCAATCGGAAAGGTTGCGAGTTCAAACGCATAGTTTTGGTTGTTAAATAAGCCCATCATCCTGTGGACAGTCTCGCCCCTGTTATAGGAATATGGAATGGCCATCACTGGCCTTAGACTGGAAACGGGAGTGTTAGCACTACCTCGATGTTCAATTTAGCAGGAAATCGCCGATTTTTTTTTTTACTGTGATGGAGCAGAAACGACTATTTTTGTTTTATTTGTGGTGGCTTCTCAAAAGCTCAGGCCCTGGGCTGTGGCCTCTACGGAGCCCACCTGCGTTAATCCGGCCCTGGCTGCAGGCGACTTGCTGTCCTCTCTCCCAGCTCGGAGGGGGCTTTTACCCCCATTGTGGCCGCTCAAACTTTTATTTTTCAACAAATTCAATATTCTTTCGTGTAAAAAAAAAAACCAAATACATTTTTAAATAGGAAACGTACGTTCAAAAACGAGAGCGGGGGGGGGGGTGGGGGGGGCAGTGGAGGGGAGGCAAGGTTGCCGCTGGGACGTAGCTGCCCGCCACCCACTACGCCGCGTCCGGTTCGTCGGAGCCAAAGCAGCAGCCGGTTTCACCACCTCGAGTGTCGCTACCTGCGCGGACCCTGCTTCCAACCTCCTCCAACTCCATCGCGGCCCGCCTCCCCCCCCCTCCCCACCCCAACCACCCCACCCAACCCGACCGTTCCACGCGCAGGCGATGAAGCGGATCCACAAGGCGTGCGTCAAGTACCCGGCGTGGAAGCGGCGCCACGAGCCGCAGCACAAGCCGTGGCTCTACCCGGAGCAGAGCAACCTCCCGTCGGTGCGGCTCGCCGAGCTGGCGCCGCAGCGCTGCGACTCGCTGGAGCACATCGACGAGAGCGCGCTGGCGGAGGCGTGCGACGACCACGCAGAGCTCAGCGAGGACGACGACAACGCTAACTGAGCGGCGTGAGCCCAGTCCCGACGCTCTTCTCCTCTTCCCTCCTCCTCCTCCCTCCTCCCTCCTCCTCGTCGTCGTCGTCGTCGTCACCGTTCTTCCTGCTCCTCCCGCACCACGTTCCCGGCCACCATCCGATTCATCTTCCCGCTGATCCTCCTCCTCAACTCCTTCCTCCATCATTCCGGCCGCAGTCATTCGACCTTCACCTGCGGTTCGTCCTCCATCCATCTTCCCTCTCCTCCTCCTCCTCATCCCTCCTCCTCATCCTTCTCCTCCACCCGCACTGACCTTCGTGGCAAGAGGCCTTTCAAGCACAGTGGAATTGACAAAGAGCTCGACGTTACATTACATTTCACACACGCAGCTGAAGACGTTTAGCACACTGCACGCGCCTGATGATTGTTCAACACGTGCCACGCGATATGAAGAGTTCTGATTCGGTATGCGTGTACACGTGTGTGTGTGTGTCTCTCTCACTTTTGACGTCGGGTGAGGTTGGTTGAAATTACGATAAAGGTTATTGTTTGTGTATGAGAGTGTACGTGTGAAAAGTACTCTAATACGTAAACAAGAAGGGAGCTGTGGCGCAGTGGTTAGCGCACACAGCGTGACGAACCCCGTGACCAGAGTTCGAATCCCCCCTCACGGCCAACACCGGTGACGATTATCTGAACTGGTCCTGCGCCTCCCCTAGATCAACTCGGCCTCAAATGAGCACCTGGTGTAGCGGTGTATAAACATCGCCACTGCGGAGACAGAGGCAGCCGGACGTGATGCTGGCCACCCGCACCCCTCGTGAGCTGTGCCTGCCTGCATCGGTGTTCGCTAACAGCCCCCCTAAAGTTATTTTAACACGTAGGCTTTCGCGACCAATATTATTCATAATAAAGGTTTTTGGGTTAGATCGCGTTTATTTATAAATGTGTCGTAACCCTCCACCACCCGACACGGCCAATCAGCAAAAAAAGTGTCACGTTGACAGAAGACAATTAGTTCACTACTTTAGCCCACCGGTGTGTTGAAGAGTTAATCCACATTTACAGTTTGAGTACGACGTTTCGCTGGTAAATACATCCAGCATCATCAAGCAATTCGCCAGAATGGCGAAATTCGCCAGAATGGCGAAATTCGCCAGAATGGCGAAATTCGCCAGAATGGCGAAATTCGCCAGAATGGCGAAATTCGCCAGAATGGCGAAATTCGCCAGAATGGCGAAATTCGCCAGAATGGCGAAATTCGCCAGAATGGCGAAATTCGCCAGAATGGCGAAATTCGCCAGAATGGCGAAATTCGCCAGAATGGCGAAATTCGCCAGAATGGCGAAATTCGCCAGAATGGCGAAATTCGCCAGAATGGCGAAATTCGCCAGAATGGCGAAATTCGCCAGAATGGCGAAATTCGCCAGAATGGCGAAATTCGCCAGAATGGCGAAATTCGCCAGAATGGCGAAATTCGCCAGAATGGCGAAATTCGCCAGAATGGCGAATGTAACACGTTTGCGCGTCAACAATTTAGCGGCTGAGGGACAAAGCAGAATGTGGTGAAGGAGAGGGGTGGTGGCATTGGCGAAATTCGCCAGAATGGCGAAATTCGCCAGAATGGCGAAACGTCGTACTCAAACTGTAAATGTGGATTAGCCCCCCTAAAGTCTGTTGAGGCTATACGGGGGACTTTGTCTTTCTTGTTCCTGGGTAGTAAGTGTTATTTTCCAATTGCTTATGCCTCAAAAGTACAGGAAATGGCTATTATTCCTCACAAAAATTTGCTTTTGTGGCCAGGACAGTGATATTTTGAAATTTACCTATTTTTCAATGAGAAAACGTGGTGTGCTTTTGCGTCCTTCAGTTCACGTAAAGTCCTGGTCACAAAAGCAAAGTTTGTGGGGAATAAATAGCCATTTTCTATACTTATGAGGCATAAGCAATCATAAAGTAACACTTGGTACCCAGGAACAGAAATCGTGTTACATAGTGACATGAGGGAGACAAGACTCAATCGGAATGATTGGCGTTCTCGCCATCGCTTGGGGGATGCGTTTCAAAATCATCGGGTCCTGTGCGGAGGGTCACTATTGACACGACATTTAAACACCGTACAGGTAACTGGATGGTTTAACACGCAGCAGGCTTTCACGACCGATATCATTCATAATAGAGGGGTTTTTTGGGTTAGATCACTTAAATATTTAAATGTTGTGTCGTTAAAACCCGCCACCACCCGACACAGCCAACTAGTGTAAGGGTTGTCACGTAAACAGAACGTGGCCAATTCGTCACTAGTACAGCACACCGGTGTGTTCGAGAGCCAAGCCACAACATTTACAATCCCAGTCCGACGTTTCGCCAGTAATTACAACTAGCTTCATCAGGCGACAGCCAGATTTGTGGATACGTCTCACCGTTTCGTTCCTTATATAGAGGCGTAGATGTGGTGAACGAAACAGGTGGACTTCTCCACAAATCTGGTTGTCGCCTGATGAAGCTAGTTGTAATTACTGGCGAAACGTCGTACTCGGATTGTAAATGCTGTGGCTTGGCTCTCCAGTGACGGAATTGGCACGTTCTGTTTACGTGACGACCTTTACTAGTTGACTGTGTCGGGCTGGTGGCGGGTTTTAACGACACACACACACACATATATATATATTTACGCGATCTAACCCAAAAAAAAAACTTTATTGTGGCGGTAACTGGGTAACGCTCGCAACGATGTACCATGGTGGTGGCGATGATAAGAAACTCGATGGGGAAAACCTTTGACCTCAGGTTGCGCAACGTCGGCCTTGGTAATTCGGCGGTCCAAATCAAAAAGAGCGCCGCCTCGATGTTCCTGACACGGACCACCCCCCTCGAGGAACCGATTTCGTTCCGTCGTCAGAGTGGGCACCCGCGGTCGTGACGAGTGTTTGGGGCAGGCGACGGTGCTTTTGGTCCCATCGATTACAACAAAACGCAAAAAATCAACAACTCTTTCTGCTCGACAATGCATGCTTCAAACGGTTGCGCGTGTGAATCGATCGCATTTAATTCTCACAAGTTGTGCGCGAGTAATGGGTTCGCTCGATTGCTGCGGTCGCGAGAGGCGCTTCGGTGTGTGCGTGGCATTGTTTATTTAAAAAAAAAAGAACACAATTCTAATTTCGCCAACTCGATTTTTGACAATTCAACGGACTCGCGAGAGTGAGGGGGGAGGGTCTGATCGTTGCACGCGTTATGTCTGTGTGCCCATTTCACCCCCCCCCCCCCCCCCCATATCGCCACCCGCCAAGGGATGTTGCTCTCGCTCCAATCCGCTGGCTCTTGTTGCAAAATTTGCCTCTACCGACTCCTTTGACTCCTCTACAGCAGAAAAGAAAAACCCGTGAATCGTGTTGCCAAGCGAACATTGCTCGTAGCCTTAGGCAATTTAACCCGGAGGTAGGAGGGGGGGGGGGTATCACCTTGGGGTGGCAAATGTTGCCCGTGTGCACCATGGGCTGTGTCCACAATGGGCAGAAAGCCTCGCGTATAATGATGATACTAATGCTGTCTGTTTTAGACACTTCCTATTTATTTACATATCCCGTGGATGTTTCATTTCACATTTTTATTTCTCTCTCTATCTCCCCAAGCACACTGGTACTCGTACATGGTGAATTTTTTTTCTCATACAAAGCTATGACGGTGACTATGCCACCATGCATATTTACGAGTTGGGGGATAGCATTCTCCAAGAAAGTCATTGGTAGCATTTGGCACCCTGGGTGGTACCGATAAGCTGCTTTAGCAAGTGGCTTAAGGACTAAATGTGGAGCTTGTCGACCCGATAGCCACTACCTCCTCATCCTCCCCTGCTCCCACCCTCCACTCCCCCTACCACCCTCCCTCCCCATCCACCCTTCATCCTTTGGCCGCAAATGCAGAGATGGACAATGTTTAAATGTAATTTAAATGAGTAACTGAATCACATTTGTCACTTGTAAATTATATCTAAATGACATATCTGAAAGTAATTGGTAATTTGTATCTTAATTAGACTGGACAAATTGGTAATTTTGTCAATTGTATCCTAACTGAATTTCCTCCCAATGATTTGTAATGCGAATGTATAGTGCACCATCTGCTGCCGCTCCCTTGCCTCTCGATCCTTCAACCCTTGCGACCCGGGGCACGCTCCGTAACGCCCCGATCGCCACTCGCTGCCGGTGGCAAACCCACAGGAAGACGAGGACTGCTTTATCACCTCCCCACGATGTCCCTTCTTCTGCTGACGCTTGTGGCTCTGCCTGCAGCCAGGGCCGGATTAACGCAGGGGGTGTAAAGGGGGGGGGGGGGGGGGGGGGGGGGGGGGGGGCGGCTCGCAACAGCCAAGAGCCTCGGCTTTTGAGAAGCCACCAAAAATAATTACAACAATTTATATATAGAGAGAAAGAGTGGTTACTGCTCCATAATAGTAAGAAAAGAAGTCCGATTTCCTGCTCAAATCAACATCTAGGCGGTGCTAGTACTCTTGTTTGCAGTCCAAAGCCAGTGATGGCCATTCCACATTCCGATAACAGGGGCGAGTCTGTCCACAGGACAACTACTTTTTGACTTCCCGTTAAAATAGATGGTATGTATTTCATCCCTCCCCAGAGGGATGGATGGGCTTATTTAGCAACCAAACCACGGTTTGAACTCTTGACCTTTCCGATTGCAAGTCGCCCGCTCTACCGCGGAGCTACCAGACGCAGTTGAATCGCCGTGTCCTTGATGAAACGCCGGTACTCTCGCGTTATGATAGATCGTTTCGGTAATTTTGTGTTGCATTTCAAGCCGTGGGACCATTATGTTGCAATAACTCGCAGTCACGTGCCGCATCGTGAGTTTTGTCCCGCTTAACTTTGATTTGGCCTCACGATCCGATCCGTCCATCTCGTTCACGAACAACGATTGAGGGTGGCGACGTGATTAACGAGCGGAGCCATTGGCATCGGGCACGGGTCGGTCCTACAACGGTCTTGGGAAGGTAATTTAATATACCTTGGAGCAGTGCCGGATTATCCTCGTAGCAAAAGTAGCTACATATGCTACGGGCCCCACACTTTCAAGGGCCCCGCGCTAAATGCTTTCAAGCTATCAATTCCGGTTCAGTGATTCTGCACATGCTCTATTACTATAGTACTTTTATGAACGACTGGGTGTTTAAGGTTAGCGATTTGTCGTATTATCTGGCTGTATAGCAAATGAAAAAATACAATTACTTTACTATGCAAGTAAAAAAAATTGTGTTTTCCTATTTATGCGGGTTTTTTTTATTTAGGACTCCTTTTATAACATATGCTACAGGCCCCGCACTCGCTTCATCCGGCACTGCCAGGGAGGGGTTACCCCCCCCCGTGCCCTCCACGAAAACTGAATCCGGCCCTATCTGCAACCGCCGCTGTGTGCGATGTCTCATCAGCAGCTCCGGACTTGGCGAGGACGTTTTGAATACCGCTGGTGATTTTGTTTCAATACGCGTCCGTACCGTGTGTTGAACTTCGTTCGCACCGTACGTAGCCAACCGTGCATAATCGGAGCGGTTTCCGTCGTCGGAATTCAAGTGATGTAGGTTATATGTTTATTTGATTTTGACGGAACGAATTTGATTTCAAAATCGTCCCATGCAGCAGCATCAGCAGCCGCGTGGATCTCTCGCGCTGCCGCTACGTCAGGCTTCTTGGCAACAATTCCACTTGCACTTTATCTGCCGAAGACCATTATCTAGTTTCGTAATGGCATGTAGGGGGGGGGGGGCGATAAGCGAGTCTTGCAGCACTAATGCTTTGTGAACGCCTGCAAATTACGTACGAATCCATTTCCCTCGCTAACGTGGTTTTTTTTTGTGTGCGCGCGCGCTCGCTCTATCCTCTCGCGCGCTCGCTCTCTTCC